AGTGCTAGGATTACAGGTGTGCACCACCACGTCTAGGTTCTGTTGCTGGCTCAGCGTGCCCCGGGGATGGGGCTGGCATGGAATGTGGGACTGGGGATAGAACCCTGGTCCCTGCACTTGCTGCCAAAGCAGGTGCTTAGTCCACTGAGCTATCTCACTGGCCCTCATGTTCGTATTTTTTGGCTGCATATTGGTCGTGCAAGTGCCATTAAAGGGTGCCATTCATTTGTACTCATTCTCCCTCATCACCTCTTTTTCCTAACCCCCTCCCTAGTGTCACTTTTTTGAGGGCATCTCAGTGAGAAGAAGGTCTGTTTTGTGCATCCCCCATTACCATTCCTTGTGCCCTCCCCCTTTATTCCCTTCTTTTTGCCTAGTTATACTTTCTCTTGTACTTCTTTCTGGCATCTTTTTTAGATTCCACATATTAGGGAGAAAATGGAATATGTGTTCAGGACTGGCATATTTTGCTCAGGATGACTTTTTAGATCCATTTATTTTTCTGCAAAGGACAAAATTTCATTCTTTTATGGCCCCAGTACTAATGTACAGCACACTTTCTCTGCCCTTGTATTTGCTGATGGGCGTTTCAATTGCTTCTGTATCTTAGCTATTGTGTGTGGTGGTAGTGCAGTAAGCACGGGTCAGCAGACAGCCCTCTACTATGTTAGCCTCTCCTTTTTCTGAGTGAGATATGTAGCCAGGAGTAGTGTCTCTAGTAGTGGTATCACGTGGTAGCTCTATTTTTGCTTTTTGAGGAAATTTCCATATTGATTTCCATAGTAGCTATAAAATTTACATTTCTACCAGCAATGCACAAGGGTACCTTATTCCACTCATTCTTTGCAGCATTTATTGTTTTTGTATTATTATTATTTTTTTTTTTTGTACTGGGGATTGAATGTGGGGCCTTAGATTTGTGAGGCAGGCGCTTAATCCACTGAGCTATATTCCTAGTCCCTGTTTTTGTATTCTTGATGATAGCTATTTTGACTGAGTAAGTGGAATCTTAATGCAGTTTTGACTTACATTTTTCTAATAGCTACAGCTGTTCTATATTTTTTCACATATACTTGTTGACCATTTGTACTCCTTTTGAAAAGTGTCTATTCAGTTATTTTGCCCTTTTATTGGTTGGGCTATTTGAATTTTTTCATGTTTTTAGTTCTTTATATATTCTAGATATGAATCCTCTGTTGCTGGAGTAACTGACAAAGGCTTTCTCCCTTTCTCTAGGCTGTCTCTTCACTCTTGTTGATTTTTGTGCTGAAACTTTTAAATTCAGCATAGCCCTGTTTGTTGATTCCTACTGTTATTTCTTACACTGCTGGAGTGCTATTCAAGAGGTCTTTGTCTGTGCCTATGGCTTCAAGTGTTTCATATATATATATATAATTTTTTTTAAACAATTTCAAAGTTTCAGGTCTTATGCCTGCATCTTTCTTCCAACTTGAATTGATTTTATGCAGGATAAAGGTTAAGGATCTGGTTTCAAGCTTTTATAAGTGGGCGTCCAGTTTTTCTAACATCATTTTTTA